ATTCCCAGCCTAATAAAAGCTGTCCTGTGTTTTGATTGTTGTATTTCCCTGTGCACTTCAGTCTTTATTCTGCAGTAATAAGCAGACAGCTTTCTTAGACAGGCCATTTGGACACCTTTGCCTTTGGAAGTTCTTGCTATCTCACTTCAGTTCCATGGTTTCTAGAATGCCTCAACATGTTTCATGTGTTCTTATGCACAAGTATACTTTAAGAACAATGTCGCATTGGTTCCTCGTGAGAACCTTACTTCTCTATGCACACACTCATGGACATATGCACTTGTGCATTCATGTGCAACACAAGGCTGTGGGTGATTTCTGATTGACCAATAAGAACAATCATATTGATCTCACTTATTGACGGCACCAAATAGTGATGGCTGTAAATAACTTTTGTATTGAGACCCATCAAATTTTCTGTTATTCTGGCTTTTATGTGTAGACCATAATTAACAGGTATGAATTTAATAACATACTATCCTACATTATCAATATAGTCACCACAGACCTTAAAATGGGTTAAATGCTATACAATTTATCTGTAGAAGTCAGCACTCACATCCTTGGCCCCAGAACTTTATGGTAAATTTGGTATAGTGCATAGAAACCAAGTAGATCAGTGTACTGACTAAGGAATGACATCACTGGAAAGGGGTTGAAGGTATGTCCCAGTAGTGCTGTACAAAAACTATGCAAGACATTGCCAGGTTGAAGGCAGACAAGTGGTGGGCTTCAGGAACAAAAGTATGGGGGTTGTTGATAATTGGACATGTTTCTCTCATAGAATCCAGCCAGGACTCCAACTATTATTTTATTTGACAGAAATGCATGGACTGTTGAGAGCAGATTCCCAATTGGGCACTCAGGTCAGTCAGAGAAATAAGACACACTACCAGTGAACTGATGCTTGCCAGGGAATGTGACTAGAAAAGAAAATCATTGGCAATCAAAGGGCAGGGGTCGTCAATTACTTGAAGCACTATGCGTTGTAATGTGCTATATAAATGTCTATAATCCCAATCCTAAACCAACCAAGAGCAATTCCCTTCCAGTGAACAAGTAAAGGACACTCAATAGGTAAGTGTGTCATTACAACTAGAGTGACTGAACTCTCCAGACTCCAAAAAGGGAGATAGCAAAAATTCCCTCATCTAGGATGCACAGAACAATGTCAATCTATTCTATTGGATTTCTAAGAAAAGTTTCACATTTGCTGTTGCTGCTGCTGGTGTGTGTGTGTGTGTGTGTGTGTGTGTGTGTGTGTGTGTGTGTGTTAGAGGACAGTTTGCAGGAGTCAATCTCTCATTCTGCCATGTGTGTCCTGACCCTCATCTAATTTTCATTTTTTAGGAGTAAGCAACATTATCCAAATGAGTGATATTTTTTGGGGTGGGGTACAGACAGGGTTTCTATGTGACTTTAGAGGCTATCCTTTGTTCTGAAACTAGGTCTTATAGATAAGGCTGGTCTCAAATTCACAGGGATCCACCTGACTCTGCCTCCCAAGTGCTGGGATTAAAGTCATGTGCCACCACCAGCCACTGCTGACTGAGCCATCTTACCAGGACCGAATGTTTATTTCTCATTTGGAACTCAACCCTGAACATTCCATACATCTCAAAAAAAGGAGAGCAATAAAAACAGCAAAGGAAGAAGAAAGGCCTCAAAATCAAATGTGTTCATTTTTTTCCTTTTGGTGATTTGAGACTTCATTTTTCTATGTATTCCAGCCTGGCCTGGAACACAAGACATGGCTTAAATTGACTTCAGAGTGCAGTAATTTTGCACCAGCCACACTAGTCCTAGAAGACACACCCCACCATGCCCAAAACTCAAATGTGTTACTATAAAGTAGAGAGCAGAGTTTTTGGACAAAGAAAACATTAAAGAAATAAAGGAAATGCAGTCTGTGTGATGTCTCGGTGAGTAAAGAAACTTGTCAACAATTTGGTGTCCTGAGTTCAATCCTCAGAACTCACATGGTAAGAGACAATTGGTCTGTGGATCTCTGGAAATTGTCCTTTCTTTTCCACATACATACTTGTGCAACAGATGTGATAAGAGTATTAATGTGCCTATAACACAAAATGAATAAAATGTAATAAAACAAGCAACAAAGTAGAATCAACACAGAAAACAAGGACAGATTTGTTTTAAATTAATCGCAATCTACCAAACAGTCCAACAATTTTAATAAATGAGTTGAGAATATACTTGGCTAACTTAAGGTGTTTGGGAAAGCCTGTGCCTATGTTGAAAGAGTAAGGATGCAAGACAGACTTCACAGGAGGATAGGTAAGGTTAAGGGAATGTAACCCAGGGAGAGATGGAGGTATTAGAAGCTAACCTCTGTCCACTGTAACTACCTGCCTTCATGAGAGGAAGCAATCTTTAGAGGTTCATTTCTGTACATTGTAGTTGCCTTTTGTTAATTATGCTATGAAAACTGGTAAGGGAAAACAGTCTATACAATAATTTTTGCACAAAAGGAAGATTAATAATATATATTTTTCAAGAAAATTTCCCTTACAGTTATTTCCTTTATTATCTCAGATTTTCATATGCATATACAATACACTGTTGCATTTGCATCCTCTAACATCCCCTGGAATATAATCCCAATTAAAGAAGCTAAAAATTTTATATTATGTAGCCCTATTAGTAATAGAAAGCTAACAATTGATTGAATTGGAAATTCATTAAGTAGAAACCCTTCAATGTAATCATCAGTGTGCTATTACCTTTGAAAGGACATTTAGCCAATACAAAGTATTAAATTTTATATTCTTTCACTGTTAATGGAGATGTTGGACCTGTTCTGTCATTGTATAAGAAGTGCTGTTAAATATTTGGGCACTCGCAAATTCTTCTTACACTAAAAGAACACATTATTTTCGAAACTTATTCACAAGGAGCACAGATGATACAGAGAGCAAAATAATTCTGACAAAGGTTTATCAAAAATCAAGCAGTAAAGCTTTACTGTAAGTGAATTCTGTTTCTTTGATTCCTTTTGATTGTTTGGAAAACTATGCAGAACTCCCTAACCTTTCATACTCTATCCAGAACTCTCTGTTCTTTCCCCATATCCACTTATTTTCCAATGTTTGATACTGAGACCGAAGTCAGCTTCCTTCTTCCTCTCTCTGGTCTCTTTATGCTCTCTATTTTCACTCCAAAGTAGGCTGCACAGTCTTGCAAACTTGTATAGAGGTCAACAGTGAAGGCACTGAACAAATGCCACACTCGCACTTGGTGTTGTCCCAACACTGGTGACATCACAGGAGATGCCAGTTCTCTCCAAGATATAACAGTGTGTTGAAAGGGACTGCTGATATCATATTGTACAGTCCTTGCCTCTGTGCTATCTCACCCCAAACAGACATGAATCCAAGTTGTCCTTTCTAGGAGACCCCAGGGCCACAGGGGAAGCCCTTGAGCATCTACCATATCTAAAGCCAGAGAGGCTTGCCATGAAAGAGAGTGGTCCTTATCAGAAAGCTGAAGACAGCGATGGTAAGGAGGAAGGCAAACTTTGCCTAATGTTCCCAGTCTCCACATAGCATAAAGGAGACAAACTCCCCCGGGGCACATAAACTGCTCATGCTTCCCCTTGCAGCCCAGCCGGGGCCTTGGAAGGCCCCTTTACCCACAAAAATAACCACCGCTATTGATGGCAGACCGAGGACGGGCTCCCCTCTGATGCTTTCACCCCCTAAGTCAGGAGCTTTGATGGCTGGTAAAGTAATCCATACAGGTAAGGTGGAAGCCTCTCAGATCGATCCTAAGACAGGCTCCATCATCACGGTGGTTCTCGGGTAACTTATACTCCAGCTGCACCTAATTTCTGTTTAACCAGAAAGGGGGAGATGTCAGGGACCTCCGGCCATCAACCAGGTATGTCTGCCTCACGTACTCAAAAGAAAATACCCTCATAGAAAGTCCATGACTCGGGACCACCCTGCTACCTGCCAAATTCCAGAAACAGAGCCGGGGCTTATCTAGGGCATAGGCTTAATAGAAGGTAGAATGTGAAAGATAAAGTTAGAGTCTGCAGTCAGGTTACCAGAGGATACAGGATGTCCTGCCCATCCCACTGACCTTCTGCTCCGCCAGGTTCATCGCAGCTACAGCACATTCCCCATTCCTTCCCCTCCTCCCTTCCCCTATATAAATTCCTTTAGAATGAATAAAGTTGTCACCTTGATCAGACTCTTGTCTTATCATCCGTCCTTGTATCCCCTACTCCCCATCTTTTTCCTAGGTGTCCACCAGACCCACGATGAGTGTCCTGTGGGTCAGGACATCTAGCTTTCTGCTCCAATATAAAATTCTTATCTGTGGGGACTTCAAGGCTCACTTTACAAAAATGACCAGGATTAGCACTGTCCCTTTGAATATACGTAGTCAATAAAATGAGATATAAAATATGCTGATAATTTAGGCAGGAGACACAGAGCAGGAAACATGGGTCTCTTGTACTGAATACGCAGTGGGGAAGATCCTCAGACTATTACAGGATTTGGGTGAGTCCAAACAAAGAGGAGTTATGCATGTAATGATGAAAATTTCCCCAGAGCCCCAGCAGAGCTCAAACCATCCATGAGGATGTTAGTGAAGACCCGAGGAGCTGCTGTCAGGTCTGACTGCAGACACCTGAACCTAGGTGAGCACTTACATATCAAAAACAAACAATCCCAGAAAGAGTTTGGGGGCCCAAACCTGGAATTGGGAGAGTGAGAAATGAGTAGTGAGAAGTCAGCCTGGGCTATGGAAAGGCATCATGGGTAGGAAAAATAAAATACATGCACACACAAACAAGCATGATGTAGATCACTGCTATGGGGCTTCCATCATGCAACATAACCCTTGGTCGGGAGCCATCTGTGAAAACTCCCCTGCTATTTTATTGGCGGCACTGCTGCTATTTCTGGGTACCATACATATCAGAAGAACCTGCAAAAGACAATCAAGGGACCAGGAGCAGGAGAGACTCAGGGTTCTTGCAACACAGAATTTATTAACCACACATCCCTTGTCTGCTTATTCTGGGAGCGCATGATCAGCCTGCAGTGCATGTGCTCCAGATCCCTGAGGTTTTTCTCTCCAAATCATTTCCTGGGCCTCTGGCCTGGTGAGGACTGAGTGGTGATCCTGTCTTCTTGTGTGTTGAAGCTACACCAGTAACGGGCAAAGTCAACACTGTTCCTAAGTCGGGTCCTACAGAGACCGACAGGGTAAGGTCACCCCGGAGTCTAGGGGAAAGACAAGCGACGAATCTGTTTTATGAAAACAGAGGAGCGGGGAGAGGAGGACAAAGGAGAGAGGAGGGAGGGAGAGAAAATGAATGATCGAATGAATGAATGAATGAATGAGAGAACACGCCTCATGCACATGAGTGAGAATGAATGAATGAATGAATGAATGACTGAGGAACACGCCTCATGCACATGAGTGAGAGAAATGAATGAATGCAGGAATGACTGAGGGAACACGCCTCATGCACATGAGTGAGAATGAATGAATGAATGAATGACTGAGGAACACACCTCATGCACATGAGTGAGAGAAAATGAATGAATGAAGGAAGGAATGACTGAGGGAATACGCCTCATGCACATGAGTGAGAGAAAATGAATGAATGAAGGAATGAATGAGTGACTGAATGACTGAGGAACACGCCTCATGCACATGAGTGAGAGAAAATGAATGAATGAAGGAAGGAATGACTGAGGGAACACGCCCACACGGGCCACACCCAGCCAGAGCCACACCCACCACGTTTGGAAGCTCTGGTCCTGCCCCCTGATGTGGCCTTGGAAGCCCCGCCCACTGCAGCCACGCCCACTGTTCCAGGCACCACCTGCCTCAATTCCAATGAACCCGCCCCTGTAGGCCACGCCCTCAGTCTTCCCCGGACCAGCTCCCGCCCTCTCCTCTGGCCACGCCCTCACCCTCAGCCCCACCTAACAAGACCCCACCCTTACCCGGCCCCACCCTCATTAGCTCCAAGGGCTCTGCCTTCTCCCCCATGGGGTCCTTGAGGTTTGGGATGGGCGGGAGCAGATGCCAGAGGGCGGGGCCAATATCAGTGGCGGAGACTCTGTCAGCAGGGGCGGGGAGTCGGTCAGGAGGGGCGGGGACTCAGTCAGGAGGGGCGGGGATTCATTGCATACGGGAGCTTTTGCCCCAAAGTCTATTTGCATACATTTACATGCGCGTCACAGGGTCTAATTTGCATGTCTCCTCCCAACGAGGGACGGGCATGTGGTGTGGGTTTTGCATATCTAAACCCGCCCCGTGACGGTGCTCATTTGCATATGCAAATCTGCCCCTTCTGCCCAGCAGGGGAAGAAGCCCAGGGGAAGGGGCGTGGCCGCACCCAGGCCCCGCCCGTGACGTCACCTCCAGCAGAGCAGAAGCAGGGTCACCAGTGCCAACAGCCCCGCCCTCACGGCCACAAGTGTGGCCAACATCGTCACTGTCACCTGGATCCGCCCCCTGGCCGCAGTCAGCAGAGGGGGCGGAACACGGAATGGTCATGGACAGGGAGACCACGCCCTTGGCGAGACCGGAAGTGACCCCAGATACCCCTCCCTGAAGCGGAAGTGAGGGGAAATTTCCCCGCCAAAACCCTGTCACCCACGCAGAAGTGCCCCGAACATGTCCTTAGGGTCCCGGAAGTGACCCCAGCACACTAGGAGAAGCGGAAGTCACCCGGAAGCCACGCCTCCAAGCGGAAGTGACCTCTAAACCCTTCCATGGTCCTCATGGGGAAGCTCATGAGCGTCTGGGGAGGTGCCTGGGCTGGCGTGACATCACATGGGCGGGGCCGCACCTCACCCAACACCGGCCTCACTCCAGGGGCTGCAGTGTGTGACAGAGCCCGGGATTCGAACCCGGGAGTGGCTCTCGAAGGTCTGCGGGGCGGGGCCGGTGACATCACCGAGTCTTTTGTCCCTGGCCACACCCACATCCGGGACTCTACTCATGCTAGGTCTCTGGCTCTGAGTGAGGGCCCTGGGGAGGGGTCAGCAGGGAGCCCTGAGCAGTGACCCCGCCCCGCCCCGCCCACCTCGCTGATCTCGAACCCACAGGAGGCTGGCGTCCGCCATTGCACTCTGCCCGCAGCATGGGCGGGGCCAGGACCTGGGCGGGGCGGGGCAGGGCAAGAAGGGGCGGGGCGGGGAAGGCTAAGAGAGGTAGGGGCAGGGGGGAAGTGACAGGGCATAGGGGCTAAGTGAGCCACGCCCGTGCTCAGTGACACGCCCACTATCTCACTGCCTGCCTCCTCTGTGGAGCCCCGCCCCTTACGAAGGCCACACCTCTCTGCATATCCCAGCCCCGCCCCTGACCCACACCCTGTCTCTGAGGCCCCACCTCTCCCAGCGGGCCCAGCACTTCTGCCAAGGCTCCGCCCAACTCACCGAGTGACTCCGCCCCTACCTTGACCCCGCCCCAGCCCCTCACCCGCTGCCTACAGCCCCGGGCCCCGCCCATGCCCGTGACGTCATAGGTTACCGAGGTTTCAGGGGTCAGCACCCGACTCTGGGAACAGGATCCCGGCAGGCGTGGCGCCCAGCGAGGAAGACGCTGGTGTTGGTCACGTGACACAGACAGGAAGTGAGTGACCCCAGACCCTGGTGACCCCGCGGCGACCCCGCTCACACACACTGGCCCGAGCGGGGGCGGGGCCTAAGGAGCCATTGGTGGTGACATCACCAGGACCCTTGATTGACACCTTGCAGCCCTCCTGCACCTCCCATAGGAAACACGTCATTCAACCCAGGCTCCGCCCACGGGGGCGGGGACGCGTACAGAGGTGACGTCACCGCCCCGCCCAGCCCCCACTCCGCCTGGAATTAGCCACAAACTCTCATGTTCCCGCCCCCACCACGTCAATCACCATCGGCTCCGCCCACAGAGGATGGGGACACGGGACAGTGACGTCACGGCTGGAGCCCCGCCCCCTCCCGCAGACGGCCCTGCCACTTCCGTGAAAGCCCCGATCTTGGCCCAGCAGTCGTCAATCACCGCTGGCGTGTGACGTCATCGCGCCACCCCTCGGGCTCCGCCCACCGCTGCCTTAGGCTCCGCCCACCGCGGCCTCAGGTAGCTGCCAGGAAGCGGACCTTAGGAGTTGGCCACGCCCCCTGAGTGGTCACGCTGGAATCCAGGCCGCCCAGTCCCACCCGGCCCTGAGGCCACGCCCAGTCTCCTCCCCCCGCCCCGTGCCCCGAGCCCCCGCCCCTCACCAGGCTCGGCTCCCGTGGCTTTGGCGGAGGCGTCCTGTGGGCCCATTTATATTATTATGGGTTACGCAACTTCCTGCGGGCCGGGGCGGGGGTGAAGTCAGCGGCCAGGGCGCCGGGGCGGGGCCGGGTGTTCATCTGTTGTCGCCTGGGAGGGACTTCCGGAAGGCTCATGTCAATCAGACGGAAAGAGGGAGGGACTTCTGCGACCAGCACGGAGGCTGGAATCCCGGAGGGGCTTCGGCTTCGGCTTTTCCGTCAATCAGCCGCGGAAGGGAGGGACTTCCGCAACTCCCCTGTCCGTCTAAGGCGGGACTTCCGGGACCAGAAACTGAGGCGGGAATCACTGAGAGCCTTTGATTTCCTGGTGATCCGCAGCGACTGTCAATCAGCCCTGGAGGGGAGGGACTTCCGTGTGATCTCCCAGCTTCCTGTCCATCACCGGCAGAGAGGCTCCAGTCTGTCAAAGGGAAGCAGGCGGGACTTCCTGGACCAGAGACTGCAGACCTGGTTCCTCTCATGAATATGCAAATGAGAGCCCAGATCGGCTTTCGCTCATTAATATGCAAATGAGCATCCATGTGTCCTCCCCCCATGTTCCTTCACTTCCTCCTGACAGGGAATGGGGCGGGGCCGGACAGGAAGCGGGCTGTGTTGGGGTGACATCGTCAGGTGACTGTAGGGCGTGGTGACGTCAGGCGATGACGTCGTGGCTGTTCTTACCGCTGTCGCCGTGGCCGTCGTTGTTTTCGTTACTTTTATTATTATTGCTCTGGCTGCCGCTATCGTTGTTTGTCGTCGCTGTGCTCGCCGTGCCGGCCCCGCCCCCGCCATGGGAACCCGTGACCCCACCCGGGCCACGCCCCACGAGAATCCACAGAGGAAAACGCGGGTTTTCTCCCATTTGTTTTATGTAAATCAGGGGTGGGGCCTGACTCACAGGGGCGGAGTCATAGGGACATGGGCGGGGCCAGAGTCGCTGAGGGTGGAGTCACAGGGACATGGGCGGGGCCGGGGAAAGAGGGTGGAGTCACAGGACGGGGGCGAGTCCAGAGATGCAGGGGGGAGGAGTCACAGGGCCTTTAAGGGAGGGGCCAGAGACAGAGGGGAGGAGTCCAGGGTTAGGGGGCGGGGCCACGGAGACAGGAGGAAGGGAGCAGTGGGACTACGGTCATAGGGGGCGGAGTCACAGTTAGGTGACCAAAGGCACAGGGGCGGGGTTATGGGGCGGGGCCGGGGAGGCAGAGCCTGGCCTCACTTCAGCTTCACTAATTCACTCCAGGTCATTCGTTCGTTCACCCCAGCTCCTCCCCCAGCTCCATCTACAGAGTACAACCACACTGTTATTAGTGTTACTAGTGTTATTAAATTTTATTATTGTTATTCGTTATTATTATTGATTATTTTATTTCATTATTGTTGTTATTATTAATTATTGTTAATGTTTTACTTAATGTTTTTGTTATTATCTGTTATTGTTTTTATTGTTATTCGTTATTATTATTAATTATTTTTACTGATTGTTATTATTGCTTTGTTATTCACTATTATTATTGTTATTATTGCGTCATTTTGGTTATTATTTTATTATTTGTGGTATTATTATTTTATTATGATTATTATTTAATTACTATTTTATTATTTGCATTATTTTATTATTATTGTTTTTATTTGTATCATTTGTGTTTTTATTATTTTTTATTGATTGTCTTATTGTTTTTGCTATCATTTTTATTATCACACAGACGTCTGCGCACATACGTGTGATTCACACACAGCATACAAGCCATTTGCACACACTCGTGATTCACACATGGCAGGGACGCCCATGTCATTCGTGATTACATGCACACACGTCTGCAGACACACATGCATGATTCACACACAGCACACATGGTAAATATGTATGTGTGTATGTATGTATATATACATGTCTGACTGTATGTAGATTATATATCATGTGTATGTATTTAAGAAAGTATGTATGTGTGTCTGACTGTGTGTAGGCTATGTAGTGTGTGTATGTATGTAGGCATGTATGTGTGCATGTCTAACTATGTGTAGATTATGTAGCATGAGTATGTATGTAAGCACGTATGTGTGTATGCATGTACGTGTGTCTGACTTTGTTTCTTATCATGGCCGGGGAGTCCAGGAGACGATGTCAGAGACCCTGTCACATGAGTTACACGCAGCAGTGAGCTTCTTTACACACAATGACTGACATGAGTTACATGCAGCAGTGAGCTTCTTTACATATGATGAATGATGTGAGTTACACGTGGCAGTGAGCTTCTTTACACACGCTGACTGACATGACTTACACGTGGCAGTGAGCTTCTTTACAGATATTGAGTGACGTGAGTTACACACAGTAGTGAGCTTCTTACACACGATGAATGACATGAGTTACACGCAGCAGTGAGCTTCTTTACATATGATGAATGATGTGAGTTACACGCGGCAGTGAGCTTATTTACATATGATGAATGATGTGAGCTACACACAGCAGTGAGCTTCTCTGTACATGAAGAATGGAAGCTGTATGTGTGTCAGAGCCCCCCCGACATGTGAGTAACATGCAGAAGTGAGCTTCTCTAGACACGTGAGTTACATGCAGTTTTCTACTTTTTATTTGTTTGTTGATTGATTTTTCTCTGTGTAACAGCTCTGGCCGTACCACAACTCGCTCTGTAGACCGTGCTGGCCTCGAGCTCACAGAGATCCACCTGCCTGTGACTCCCATGTGCCGGGATCAACGCGTGCACCACCACCGCCTGGCATGTTTTATATTATTGATTATGTTTCCTGTCCAAGGCAGCCTGGTCAGGGTCAGGCACCAGATGCTGATTAGAAAGGAGAATTCTGCTCCATTGAAGAGAATGAGCGTCAGGCAGCAATGAGCTCCCTAACTGTTTACGCAATGAAACACGGTAAGGTGATCATCCACATATGTACAACACGCAAAAAATGATGGAGCTGAGCCAGGCGTCAGCGTGGGCATGCTTGCATTTAATCCCAGCACTCGGGAGGCAGGCGGATCTCTGTGAATTCGAGGCCAGCCTGGTCTACAGAGCGAGTTCCAGGACAGCCTCCAAAGCCACAGAGAAAGGCTGTCTTGGGGAAAAAACAAAAACAAAAAAAGAAAACAACATGTAACTGGTCATGTCCATGTATTTCAGTCTACTTCTTCACCCATGCATACAAAGGAAGCAGTTGGAAGAGATTTGGGAAGGGATGGAATCAAAAGATAGAAGCAGAAATTGGTGTAATACATTCTAATTATCAATTTGCAGAAATAACTTTTAAATAAAAAGATGCACTAGAGAGAAGGCTCAGCAATTCAGAGGACTTGGTGTTGTTACAAAGGACCTGGGTTCCATTTCCAGAACGCATGCCAGTTAACCATTTGCTGTAACTCCAGTCCCAGGCATCACCTGCCTTCATCCCACCTCTGTAAGTACTGTGCACAGACAGATGTGGGGAAAATACCCATTATAATTAAATTTTTAACAAGTTAGAAAACAAAAGGAATGGAATTCTCTACAGTGGTGTGACAGCCCCGAGACAGAGAGCAGCCAGGGCCAGTTGCAATGAACTCCTTATGGTGTTGCATGGAAGCAGCTGTGACTTTCTCCTGAGTCAGCCTGCTCAGAGGCAAAAGCAGCTTTGTTCTGAGGTTAACAGAGATCATCACAATCATTAATCTAAGAGCATAGTACAAAGTGCTGTTACCTGACTTTTCCCTGAAGTTTTCTGCATTTTTGTCATCTATCTTTTCTAACTGTGAGAATCGTGTCACTGATAGTTAATTTTTAGATCAACCATCAAGATTGATGGGTAGCATAGGATCTAAAACATTTTGTCATATAAGTTATTTTCAACTATATTGTGGTTCAAGATGAACTTGCCATTCTTTCTATCATTTTTTTATTTATATATGTCCCAGCATGACTTTGAGGTAATAATATCCCTAAATGTCTTTCATTCTACATTATGATCATGTTCAGAAGTAAATTTAATAATTGAGCACACTTAGGAATAGGCAGAAGCCTGCATGAATGTGTTTAGGCTCATTAAGTAAAATCCCCATGCTTTCTTTGCTTAGGAAAAGAGTGGTTTTTGAAATATCGCCCATACCCTCCTTGCTTCCTGAAGATAAGAGTTCTTTCTCCTTTCTTCTGTCTTGGCTGTTGGGATGACCATTGCTGGTAGTCAAACTTACCTCTGGAATTAACTAAAACCCAAACAGTTGGGTCAC